GTGCAGTGGCTGCTCCCGGCCACCGCAGCCTCAACCTGCTGGGCTCCGGCGATCCTGCCGCCTCAGCCTTCCAAGTGGCCGGAATTACAGGCATGCGCTACCACGCCCGGCTGATTTTTTGATTTATTGTAGAGATGAGGTCTCGCTGCCCAGGTGGGTCTCGAACCCGCGGGCTCAGGCCATCGACACACCTCAGCCTCCCAAAGGTGCGGGATTACAGGCTGAGCCACCGAGCCCGGCTCATATTTCTAATAGAGACATTGGTAGGTGGAAAGATAGGTACATTTGTTAATTTTTTTGTTTTGATTTGGAATCTTTCTGTCTCCCAGGCTGAAGTGCAGTGGCACACTCCTGGCCACTGCAGCCTCAACCTGCTGAACTCAAGCAATCCTTCTGCCTCAGCCTCCTAAGTAGCGAGGACTACAGGCACAGGCTAGTATGCCTGGCTATTTTTAAAAAAAATTTATTGTAGAGACAAGGTCTCACAAAGTTGCCCAGGCTTGTCTTGAACCCCTGAGCTCAGGCAATCCTGTCGCTTCAGCCTCCCAAAGTGCTAGGATTACAGCTTGAGCCACCATGTCCAGTCTACATTTGTTAATTTTGAGAATGACATTTTTCTTGATAACAATGAAATGAATTTATATACTCACCAACAATCTTTGAGACTGCCTATTGATTTACTCCCAAAGGACTACGTACATGGTCACATTTTTGGAATATTTTCCAGACTGATAGGTGAAAAATGTCATATCACTGTAGTTTTTAAATTTTTACCTTTAATTATTTTTTGTGGAGAAAGGCTCTTGTCATGTTGCCCAGGCTGGTCTCAAACTCCTGGCCTCAAGAGATCCTTCCCCTTTGGCCTCACAAAGTTCTGGGATTATAAGGCGTGAGCCACTGTGTCCAGCCTTAATGTGGTTTTCATTTGCATTTCTCTTTGAGTAAATTTAAGCATCTTTTTTTTTTTTTCAGTTGGAGTCTTACTCTGTTGCTCAGACTGGAGTGCAGTGGCAGGTTTATGGCCACCGCAGCCTCGATCTGCTGGGCTCAGGTGATCCTTTCACCTCAGCCTTCCAAGTAGCTAGAACTACAAGCGTGCGCTACCACATCTGGCTTATTTTTTGATGTACTGTAGAGACAGAGTCTCCCAAGATGCCCAGGCTGGTCTTGAACCCCTGAGCTCAGGCAATCCTCCTACCTCGGCCTCCCAAAGTGCTGGGATTATAAACTTGAGCCACCATGCCTGGCAATTTAAGCATCTTTTACATGTCTGAGCCATTTGTATTTCTCTTCCTATGAATTCCTATTCTTTTTTTTATTAGGTTGTTGATCTCTCAATTTGTATTGGCTATTTAAAAAAATTGTATATTTTATATTATAATTAAAGACAGGATCTTGTTTTGTTGCCTAGGCTGATCTTGAACTCCTGGGCCCAAGCAATCCTCCCACCTCGGGCTCCCAAATTGCTGGGATTATAGACATGACCTACCGTGCCTGGCTTGTATTGGTTCTTTATAAACTAGAAAAAGTAGCTTAGTCATTGATGAGCTGCAATATTTCTCCAAGATTACCATCTGTCTTCTGGCTTTGCTTACAGTATTTTTTCTCCTATGCATAAGTTTAGTTTTATGCTACCAGTAATTTTGTATGACCTCTAGGTTACAGGATTTCCTGAGTTCAAGAGTTCGAGGCCAGCCTGGGCAACATGGCAAGACTGCATCTCTATAATAAACAAAATTAGCCAGGCATGGTGATGCATACCTGTAGTTCCAACTACTTGGAAGGCTGGGGTGGAAGAATTGCCTGAGCCCAGCAGGTCAAGGCTGTGGTGGCTGTGATTGTGCCACTACTCTCCAGCCTGGGCAAAAGTGTGAGACTCTGACTCAAAAAAAAAGAGTATTTGAGGTTATAAATTTTAAGTTTTCCCCTAGTACTTTTTTTTTTTTTGAGTCGAGTTACACTGTCACCCAGGTTGGAGTATGGTGGCATACTCGTGGCCACCGCAGCCTCAACCTACTGGGCTCAGACAAACCTTCTGCCTTAGCCATCCAAGTAGCTGGAACTAGAAGAATGCGCCACCATGCCCAGCTAATTTTTTTGATTTACTGTAGAGACGAGGTCTCATCATGTTGCCGAGGCTGGCCTTGAAATCCTATAGCCTCTGCCTCCCAAAGTGCTGGGATTACAGGCATGTGCCATTGTGCCCAGACAAGTTTTCCTCTAGTGCTTTTGTGGTTTGTTATTCTAGCACTTTTGTGTCCAACTTATTTTTTCCCATGAAAAACTGTTTCATTCTTACTAAGTAGTTCATCCTTTACCATCTTTTATGAGATACTACCTCTCTCATAGTCTAAAATCCCCAAAGATTTAGAAACTAATTCAGGACTTTCAATGTGGTTCCATCGAACTCTCTCTTCATAGGGCGATCCTTCTGCCTCAGTAACCCAATGTTACTGAAATGAAACTTAGTAGAATTTTAATGCCTCCAAATAATTTACTCTCATTTTTCCATTTAATTTTTTTTCCTCTGGTGAGTTGCAGTGGCCCATGACTGTGGTTCCAGCTACTCAGGAAGCTGAGGGCAAAGGATCACCTGAGCCCAGGAGATTGAAGATGCAGTGAGCTGTAATCATGCCACTGCACTCCAGCCTGGGTGACAGAGTGAGACTTCAGCTTAAAAAGTAAAAAAATAGAGCCGGACTCGGTGACTCAACCTGTAATCCCGCGCCTTGGGTGGCTGAGGTGAGTCGATTGTGTGAGCCCCCAGGTTCGAGACCTACTTGGGCACCTTGGCGAGACCTCATCTCTACAATAAATCAAAAAATTAGCTGGGTGTGGTAGCGCGC